CTAAACCCTAAACCCTACATGAAAAAAAACAAGCACTTCATGGAGGAGCTCCAGGTCCTCTTCGACACGGCCTCAGGGCATCTGCTGGTTCCCCACTCTGCCTGCGAAAGCCGGGCCTGCAGGACCCACTGGGTTTCGGGTCATGGGGGGGGGTCCTTATTATAGTTTGGGGTTCAGGGTTCAGGGTTNNGGGTCTAGTGTTCAGGGTTTAGGGTTTAGTGTTTAAGGTTTAGGACCCACTGGTCGCTCATCGGGTTCTTTTGAATGGGACTCTTTTGAGGTCGTCCCAGTGGTGTTTGCAGTCTGCGGTATTTGACACGGCTTTGAGGGTGCATGGTAAAGTGGCTTTGCCTTGCAAGGGCCCCCTTTGCACATGCTGCGGTTTTGATGCTTTCAAGAGAGGCCAGGATTTGGATGTTGCGTGTTCATTTTGCCACGCGCCTGATTCCGAGTTCCTCGTCTAGGGGGGGGGGGGGCGAACCTGACGCCTGACATTGGGACTGCAAAACGTAGGTTTCCCAAGCTTTGGGATGCTTTAGTGGGTCTTGACATGGGGTTCGTATTTCTTGTTCCATCGCCTTCGTGGCGCGTGTTTGTCGTGGTCGTCGTCTCGGGCGATAGCCTTCTTTACATACGAATGCGCGATTGAGAAGCAGATGTGCCGGGCCAGGCAGGAAAGAGGCGCTTCAGTCATTCAGACATGTGTTTATATATATATATATATATGTATATGTATATATACATGTATAGTTTGTGTAGTTGCGTTTGGCAGAGCTTCGCAAGGCGATGATGAACAGGTTATCTAGCCCAGGAAGCCAAGATGTGCTTGTCTGTGTACTTGCCGATGTGCAGTTCACACACACACACACGCATGCCGGGATGGCTTCACACGTGCAAGCTGCAAGCTCTCCAGGAAGCTGGAAAGCTGTGGCTGTTCGTGGCTTAGGCAGCACTGTCTCCCAAACATGGCCTCCCTGCCCACTGATGTCGCGAACACTTCGGAGCAGTACAACATGGAGCCAAGTTTCGCACGGACGCTGGCGGGCCGCGGCGCAGGCCACTGCTTCCCCTGCATCTCCGCCGCCTCCCTGCCATGCAATCGCCACTTCCAACCGTCGCAAGACTTCCCAGGCCTTTTTGGCGGCACTTTCCGTGACGATGGTGACATTGAAACTGGGGACTCCTTCCCTTGTTGGGCCACCCGCTTCCCCACAAAGCCTATCCATCCCAGAGAGTCTCTTCCGTGACGAAGGCGACATTGAAACTGGCGACTCCTTCCCTTGTTGATATGCCACCCGGCTCAAGATCGGTGACGTCTTCCGCGGCCCTTCCGCCCCACACAGTCTCAGCGAAGGCCAGCAGGCTATACCGAATCAATATCAAGCGTTTGGGACCAGCACAGCGCGGCACCGGCGAAGCCAGCAGCTTCCACCCAGTGCCAGAACTACGGTCGCGCGCTTGCATGTCGTCTACTGCCATGGGCGATACGTCATCTTGTGGATGAGTTGGTTGTGCCTAGCCTGGAGAACAGTCTGACCAACGCGAAACGGGAGGTGACGAAGTCTTCCGTTGAGATGGTGAAGAAGCGTTTGATAGTCTTCGAAGAGGTCGTGACTCAACATGATTTTCATAAAGAAGTCTATACCCCGCCCACGGTACTCGAAAAGATATAAACAAGGCTTTTCGTAGCGCATTTTGTTGCAAAGGTGTGTCCACTTGCGACGGTTGCTGTGGAAATTACAATGTTTGCTGCGAGAAGCATGGATTGTCGACGGGAAGCAGGCAATACAGCAACTTCGCTGGCAATCCCAGGCCCAGGTGCCGCTGTCACCGTGGACACAGCTTCACCCACACCAGCTACCAGCCCCTGCAGCCAAGCCCAGAGCTCCGACTGTCCCTTGTATCTGCTCAGATGTCTCGTCCTGTCTCTTGGAGGTGGATTCGGATCTTTGTGCGTGCAGCAGTTCCTCAAAAGGTATGGGAATGACGCGAATGCCAACAGGTTCTTGCCCTTGCATGCCTGTTCCATCGGTGTTGCAAGTGCTCTTGTTTTGGCTGCGGGACTCGACGGCATGATCCTGAAAGAGGCTAGAACACAGTCGCCTGGCAGCATTTATTTCATGCCGCTGTTCCTGACAGGAGCAAACCTCGGTGGGACATCTTTGTTCCTGCTGTCGCATCAGAGACTCTAGGACATGGCCGCGACTTTGACGGTCGTGATTAGCAGAATGCCCACATGCCCAAAATTGTCTGGAGAGTTGTGTCAATGTCCCAAGCACTCGTAGCACGCAGCCCAATTGCTGCTTTCGACGCACCTGGCTGAGGGTCGCTCGCGGTGCTCTGTATAGAAAGCATGCGAGCAGATCTTCAAACAGCTTGAGCGCGCCAGCAACTGCGGCAAAACGAACTCAACACGTCACTTTGCCTTGGCAACAACGAAGCCCAAGACTGCATGATGTTGCAATTTAAGTGCTGCTCGCCACATGCAGACCCGTGAATCTTTCCCACCTCAGATTCCGGGTCGACGTCATTTTCATCTTCGGTTTTCTTCGGGCTGGTTGGTGTGGGGACTTGCGGTCCAGAAAGGTTTGAGATCGGAGGCCTCTCATCTCTCAGCTAAGCAACTCTCCCGATGTATCGTCAAGCCCGCAGGAAGCACAAGCGCTACTCGCCCTTCCGCTCCACCACTGCGGTGGACGTCAACTCCAACGGCAAGCCCGTGAAGGAGAACGAGCGCCTGGTCCGAGGTGTCGCGAAAGACGGGCATCGATGATAAGTTTCAAGTGAACTTAGAAGCACATTGGTATATTCATATAATCATGATTGTCCTCGTGCACGGTGACTTCGTGCCGGTGGTGTTCTCGTCGCTGCTGTTTAAGATGCTGCGCTTGTGGGCAGCCGTCCTGTAGCTGTAGTGATGATGATTGTGCTCAACAGTACTACCATAGTATGGTATTGCGGTTTTGCGAATTATCAGTGACTGTAGATGGCATCGTTCTGGGTCGCAAACAGCCATGGCAACAGTCTGCTGTGTTGCGGATTCTTGCTTCTGCTGCCCCCAAACACTGAACCATTGCACCGTGTCAGGCAAGACCAAGAGGGACGCAGTGACCGTTGAGTTTACGCAGGCCAGATTCGGGGCTGAAGCATATGGTCAGTTTTCTAAAATTAGGGTCCCTTTTAGGGTCCTTGCGGACCTAAAAGGGGACCAATTTGGAGAACTACCCATGTATGTTGCCTTGGTTCGGTTTTGCCGCTTTTTTGTCAGGCTGCAAGAGGGGTTTAGGGTTTAAGGTTTGTATGGAATGCACAAAAATCAAGACTCAGTAGGTTAAACCTATCTAGGGGCAGTTGTCGTTCAAATACATCGGGACATAGGGATCATTCATTTTGTTCAATGTAGGTTGCTAAACTCAGGATTTTAAGAAGACGCTACCTCCAGCGATCACCGCAGTCGATGTGGTCACCACGTCGAAACTGTAGAAACTCATATTAGGAACCCAAAGAGGACATAAGCATAAGGCTTTTATAGGGATATCCCTACTTACTGGGCTTCATTATAAGAGTATTTATATGGGATATCCCTATCCCAATTTTTGCTTATGTGCTTTTTTGGGGCCCTATCATAGATCCGGATCAGACTGTGACTCTCGTTTGATTCAGCAGTTGGCTCTTGGAACCCTAAACCCTAAACCCTAAACCCTAAACGCGACTGTCGTCGGTCTACATGGGCTTAGGGTCTTGGAGTCGGAGGGTTCAGGCCCCTCTCGTGCAGGAAGGGCAGGTTTAGGGTTTAGGGTTTAGGGTTTAGGGTTTAGGGGGTGTGGCTGCAAAAATATAGTCGCAGCAGTCAGAGCAGCCAAACGGATGAGCATTGGAACTGCCGGTGATTGCATTGAGGGTACTTGCGGCACTTCAGATCAGTAGCACAGAAACCCAAGCTGAAACTTGAAGCCCTTACCCCTAAACCATGAACCCTAAACGCTGAACTCAAAACCCTCAACGCCGCAAATCCCGAAACCGCTTGTTCTGTAGCAAACCTAAGCCCTAAACCCCTCGATCCTACCCCTTTGGGTGGTTGTCAAAATTATGGTCCCTTCTTGGGTCCTTATTATAACCCGGCACCTATTATTTAGGGTACCCCAAAAGGGGCCCTAATTTAGAGAACTACCCACATAGGAGTCTTTATATGCAGGGAACCCTAAACCCTAAACCCTAAACCCTATATCTTCCCAGGCCGATCTCGGCGAAGGTGCTGCGCGGGCCGCAGCTTGGCCGAAAGGTTTCTATACAAGACGAGGGTCTTAGGCTTACATAAAAGGGGACCTAGCTTCAGAAATAGGGTTTAGGGTTTAGGGTTTAGGGTTTAGGGTTTAGGGTTTAGGGTTTAGGGTTTAGGGTTTAGGTAATGTAGAGGTCTGAAGTTTAAGGTGCCTTCCAAGAGAGGCTTTCGATGTAAGATTTGGGGAACCTAGTCATTAGAGGAACCCCAAGCCTACCATCCCAAGGTCCTCGTGCACGACGACGTCTGCCTGGGGACGGAGTTCGGTCATCAGGCGGTGGGTTTCTGCAGATTCTGCAGCTTCTTGGGGTCCTTAAACCCTAAACCCTAAACCCTAAACCCTAAACCCTAAACCCTGAACCCGTGCCTTCAAGGTGTCGGTCCCTTTGTAGGGTTCCATAATGTTCTGGAGGGCTTCGTTTCAGGATGTGTGGTAACGCTTTAGGGCTTAGGGGTTTGGGGTTTAGGGTTTAGGGTTTAGGGTTTAGGGTTTAGGGTTTAGGTCAGATTTAGGGTTGGGGCATCTTTGCGTTATGTGCTTTTTTTGGGGGGGTTCAGGACGTGTGGGTGTGAAACGGCTTGTAAGAAACTGGCGGTGGCTTGTGGTTCCCTCTCTTCTGTGACTTTCAAACTTCGTTTTGTAGAAACCTAAACCCTAAACTCTAAACCCTGGTGCATTGCTTAGAGTCTTAGTGTGGCTTTGGGAGGAGGAGCCGATGCTTCTTACACTTAAAGCCCTTGCTTCGACGTCCGTGCAAGCAAGGGTTCCTTCAATGTCTCCTTGGTTTAGGGTTTAGGGTTTAGGGTTTAGGTACAAGGGCAGCTCTTGTGACGTTTTTGGTGCGTTCCTTTTTGGGATGTTGGTTTCTTTTATGCGTATCTCCTAAAAGCCTGTGTTGGCTTAGCTTGTAAGGGTAGTGAAGAGTAGGATCATGTATGAAGAGTAGGATCATGTTCTTTCCTAGTGTGTACGGTTTGCATCGGGGCCGTCGTCCGTAACACTGCTACGGGTCCTGCCGTGCTAGGGCTCTGTTACAGACCTAATGAGTTTTATGAATTCCACACTTTCGGCGACACGGCAGGTCTGCACAAACCTCGACATCATGGCGGCAGCGGGCCCCATCCTGTTTGCTGCAAAGGTCTTGGATTTGAGGGCCTCTCGGGTTGCTTAGTATAGAGGCCTACCTTAAGAACTCAAAACCCACTTTTTTGTAGGTTCTTATTATAAACCCTAATATGGGATTTATAGGGACCCTACAAAACAAGTAGGTCTTGGGTTCTTAAGGTAAATAATATTTACCAATACTATTTTTTGTCCAATAGCAAGGCATGCCCACGGCCTCAGATCATACCTGCCCCAACCTCGGACAGTGCGGCGGTAGAGTGCGGCCTTTGGCCAATCCAAGTTCCTGAGAATTACTTTTCAACACCAGGCATGGGAAGAACAAATCGGTAGTTCTCTAAATTCGGGTCCCTGTGTAGGTCCCCAACATAGTACGGCACCCTTATAAAAAGGACCCTAAAAGGGACCCTAATTTAGAGAACAACCCAAATGCTACAACCTGCGCGCAGTGTTGGACCATGTTGGAATGGCCAACCCCCTTCGACAATCCGCTGCCCTCCCACAAAGTTTCCTTCTTTGATCTTGTGTTAGATCTTTGCATGTCCGGTCAAGTACTGGTGCCTATTAACCTCAAAGTTTTTGGCAGGTTTCTGTGACGCTCCCAAGGTGAATCGGAAATCTCGTTTATTTCCTTCCAAGTCGCTCTGAAGCTGTCCGGAGGTAGCTTTAGGGTTTAGGGTTTAGGGAAACCGTTTTGATGTCCTGGTTCCAAGATGACTCCTCATTCCCGGAAGAACCTGCGTTCATTTTCATCTTACGGTTGTTGCTGATCTCACGTCCTTCGCTGCGACGCAGCTTGTGTCTCGTCGAACTTCAAGCGTTCTTGGGGGCTAATACATCCCAAGGTTACCCGTTGCTTCCCCAAGCAACCGGACAGGTAATGTAGGGGCCTTAATAA